CACGTGCAGCTGCAGCAACAGCAGCAGCACCAGCCTCAGTCTCAGCGTCTGCATCAGCAGCAACAATCGCCGCGCTACCCGGTGCAGATGCTTTCCGGCCACGTGCCAACTTTGGCCGCGAAGGAGACCATCCTCGAGCCGCCGCTGCGCCGCGACGACCTCGTCTACGTGCACTGCGCGACGGAGGACGAGGAGGTCGCCGAGGACGAGGAGGAAGAGTCCATGGGTCTCACCAGGTCTAGGTCGTGGCTCTGCTGCCCCAGTGATCGCCGACCCGATAAGACCGTGCCCATACAGGTCGAGGCCAATAAGGACATGCAAAATGCAGTAAGTTTTCCTGGCCTTGCGGGCGATGTGGGTGAAGGAGAGGGTGGCAAGGTGGCGAGGAAAGGAAGAGACCACCCTGTTATCTAGGGATAAATCCGTACTTCGACGCTATTGAAGCTCGAGGTCTGCGCTCAGGAAATTAATGTTCGCGCGAGGGAAATAATTCACGTCCGTCGAATAAATTTCGGAGGAGAGAGGATCTTTATAAAACACTTCAAAAAATTCGCAAATTATTTTTAGAAAGTTCTCAGGAGGAGAAGATTCTTCTCTCTCTCTCTTCTCTCTTTCTTTCTTGAATTTCAATCTCATCCTGAAGACGACGTTACCATATCGTTCCTGGTAGCTGTCGCGAGGACTGGGATTTATTCGGCGGCTGATTTATCGGCGCGATGCTCTGACTTTTTCCATTCGCGCTCGCGATATGTCGTCGCATCCTGATACATGCCGTCAGGAATACCTGTCAACGAGTCGATACACGACGGGCAGTCGGGCGGGCAAGCACTACCCTTTTCAGATCTCTCTGCGGCTTTGCAGTATCGAGCGACGATAAATCACCGCCGCGCCGCCGTCAGTCATACAAACGGAAAACACAAAAGAACTTTTACTCGATAAATTGCACGTCAGTCATAATGAGAGTGCCGGCGCAGGACAAATCCGACGGCGCTTTACCTGTTCGCGAATAATGAATTCCGCGACTCTCTGTTTCGATGATTGTCTTGCGTATTAATGCCCGCTGGAAAAAGCTTTGCGCGTCAATTTTGCAACTAAAGTGATATCCCAAAAGCTATCACGAGAATGAAAATTATTTTACATAAGCAATGTAGTATAATGTACTTTAAATAAAAAATTATAAATGTTTGAATTTCGGAGTTTAAAACGAGTTTCTAATTAACGACGTTCTCTAATTAACTTGTGAAGTGCGCGACGTCTTGAATCTCTCGTTTCTTTCGACTAGGCTTTTCGCTGAGATCGTTATAATTCGAGCCAGTTGTACGAAATAAATATATGAAAACATACATGTGTAAATGTCGCAGTTCTAACAATTAAGCATTTAGGCATCCGGGCTTTATCGATCTCGGAACGTCTGGAATTAATTATCCTGCAAGCAACGCGATTAATCATTTTCACGAAATGGATAAAGTTGCAAGAATCTACGAAAAGTTGTTGCACTCATTTATTTAGTCTATTTTTAAAATTCTTAAGAGTCTGGAAAGCTCTTAAAAATGATAGAGAAGAAAGAATACCTTTGTACGATTTATGACGGTTGACTTTTCTAATTTATCACGTTGCGCAATTTCACCCCATAATACGGAAGCAGATTAAGCTTGTGTTTCGCACTTCCACGTGCTTCCAATATTTATGACGTGGTATCCTAGGGCACGTCACGCCCTCCTCTCTCTCGTCGGTGTCTCCACGGACCTGGTGTCTCCGCGCACGCACCCTCCAGTTTTTTCGACAAATTCTCTCTCAGTCTAATCTCACGATGTGGTTACTGGGAAACTTCCGTCGCTCTTCTTTCACTCCTCGCACGAGAAGGCGTAACTTTCGCGAAAATTACTTCCGAGTAATATCCGATAAAACGATTCGAGTTGGGGCTATCGCTGGCTGATATTTTTCAAAGATATATTTGCAGTGTGCTTCGAGTTGGATCGTTGAAAATGTTTTTACAACGCAAATTATATGTAGCTGCTTTTACGTTTCCTCAAATGGAGCTCGCCGCGCAGAACACATTATTTTATCTTTATAGAGATAAAATTTCTGTCGAGATAAACTTGGTGCTGTACTTTATATAAGCGTTTTTCATCCCAAGATTAGACGCGATATTTAACCCTTAACTGCGGGTATTACCACTAGTGAATGTAGAGAGTTCTGAAAACTTCTGCGAAGAAAAAGGGAAATAAAAATAGTTATTCCACTCTGGAGAATAATTACATATTTACACATTAAACATATTTATTGCTGTAGTTTCTTGCATTTTTCCTCATTAATTGTGCGCAGAATCAAGTTTTATCTGTTTTTCCGGCAAGAAAAAACAATTAATCAAAATTACAACGTAAGTGATAAAAATCTTACAATTAGACGTCCACAGTTTTGTGGATTAAAACATGGGGTGCGTAAGAGAAAAGAATATTATTATACACGATCCTGTTGATTGCTTTCGGAGATCAGAGGGGAGATCAAACGGATCTTCGCCTCGCGACGAAGGTTCCGCATCGAACGAGTAATTCTAGCGAGCGGTGTAGATCGCGGCGGGAGAAGGGCGCGGTGAGGAAATAATCGCGAAACCGCGGCGGTTTCGTGCCACGATCGCGGAAACGATCGGCGGCAGCGGCGGGCTGCACCGTCTCGTCTCGCGCCAAATTGCGAGGAGGAGCAGCCGAGCAGTTTTCCGTAATGGATCTTCGCTCACGCGTGGCTGGCAAAACACGCGCGAACCGTGAAACCTATACCCCGGCAGACGCCTTCCGTTGCATTCCACGGTGCGTTCCGTGACGCGCTGCACAATTGAGGCATTTGCCAGAGAGAGAGGTACATCGCGACCGCCAGCCAGGTCGCATACCGCCGGTAAAGTTCAGCCAGGGGGGGGAGGGGGAGGGCCATATCGTTAACGTTTATGAGTTGGTTGGCACCGACGAATATACGCGCGACTGCTAAGTCTACGCGACACGCGCGGCGCGCGCTGCTAGGCGATAGACGTCATCGCAATTTCGTAGATGCTTATCAGACGCGCTCAAGGATACTTTATGTTAAGCGGAGGAAAACCTATAAAAATTTTCTAAGAAATCCAGAGGAAAAATCTAGAGGAGAAGAAAATATGTTAGAGAAATCTGAAATTGTAAAACAATTTAGAACAGGGAGAAAAAATTGACAGTTTTGTAACGCGAGTGAACGTCGCGTTACTTTCTCATCACAAGTTAAAAAATATTTTACATCCCCGATATTTTAAATAATTAATTTCAAAACATACACAATTTTTCTTCCTCTTTCCTGAATAATTTTTATATTTATATTTTCCTGAATTATTTTATATTTTCGAATTGTGTCATTTTTTCTTGCGGGGTTTGATCAAAATTTATGCATTATTCGGTCACATCGCTATATTCTCGTTTGTATTCGTAACTAATATATCAATCTACACAGTTTACGAATCGCGTTATTGTGCCGGATTTAATCTTCCTCGAAAGACGGCGCCTTTCCGAAGACGCAGACACAAAAGAGGGTGAAGAGACGTTTCGCTGCGAAAGCGCAACAATCGTACGGTACGATCGCATTTCTTGGATCAGAAATAGCTTTGAAGCTCGTGCCGTATCAACGCAAAAGAGGTATCGCCGCCGCTTCGGCTCGCTGGACCGCGAAAATATATCCAACGTCTTCCCATTTTTCTGCCCACCCTCCGCCGCCCACCCACCCTCGCTTCTCCTCCGTGTATCTCACCCATGTGCAGTACCAGACGCCCCGTCATTTGTATGCAACCGGCTCTTTTCGATGTAGGTTAATGGTATATGGTCCACGAGGGTTTCTCTCTGTTGCCCGGCACCTCCGGCGACTGGCTCGCGTGCATTTCTTCTGGTTCTTTTTTTTCCCCATACAACACGGAAAGTTACTCCGTGGAGGAACATCGTACACCCTCTTTGGCACGCATTTCTGGAGCACATTTTTAAACTTAAAAAGAAACTTGAATCGACGAAGCACTGCGTGAGACTTTGTCGAGAAAGTTAACGCTTAAAATAGAGTAGCGAATTTCATCGATCGTCTTAAGACTCGCTTAAACGAAAAGTCGTTAAATTTATCTTCCATCATAATGTCAAGTTATTATTATCCTAGACAGAAATGACTAGTCGAATTGACAGCGATATGATCGAATATCGATTTTTGTCATTTTATCATAATTATTTTTTAATTCAGCAATTGCGAATATTTATTTATATTAAGATTTTCCTTGTCTTTCGGCCAATTCTATATCGAATATTGTGTTTTCTGAATTTGCAATTTATGTTGTACGTGTATTAAGAAACACTGGATCGGGGAAATAAGGTGATTTAAATAAGGTGAAGCTCGAATTAGGATAAAAAAGAAATTATGCACAAAATCATTACCGCTTTTTAATGAAGATGATCGCAGCAAGATTTTTTCGGGGTTTGCCAAAAACAATTCGACTAATCGTTTCTGGGTGAGTATCACTTCGCGCGTTTACGTATACCTCGCGCGAAGCGCTCCTCTCCGCCCGCGAAAGAAAAGGGAGTAGGATAAAAATTATATCTAAATTAATTGCCGATGGACGGTCCGGCGTGTCCGAAGGCGAGTTCGGTAATCGAATCTCTCGCTCGTGACCTTACTCGCCGATGAAACTGCAAACCGCCGCACAGCCGGGCCGACCGGCCTTGTAATTGAATCCTTGATTGCTTTTTGTTTGAATTACACTCCTGCCGTCGCGTCCCCCTGTTTGCGCTGGGCCGACACATGCGCGCGCGCGCGCGCGCACGCTCGCGCACCCCTGACCTTAACCGGGCGGTGAGGAGGATCCTCTCTCGTGAATGAAACATCGCGAAAACATTGCGAGGCACGCGGTTACGCGCGAAATGTTTCCCGTCCGCGGGGCTACTATTAACTATATCAAGAACTTACGTTCGTGAGCGTGTCGCGTTTCTACATATACATAAGCGCACCAGCAATTTTCTACTCAGCGATATCAATATTTTTTATTAATCGCAAGAAGCATGAAGATACAACGTAGGGAGTTAGAGATAATATAGCAACGTGGATCTTCCTTTCGGCATGCATTTTCCCTCGGGGCGCATTTAGGGTTTGTCCCCGCATGTCGGTACCGGATCCGTGCCGCAAGTGCCGGTGTTGCAGTGCGGCGGTGCCATCACGCAGGGTCTGCCGTCGGGACAAGGCGGCGCTTCCTCGCAATTCTTCCCTGGCAGGTGCATGTATTCCTGCTCCTCCGCGAACGTCGTCGAGAGCACGACGGCGACGGCCATCAGCAGGACGATAGTGAACTTCATCTTTTATCAACTTCGATCACCTGTCGTGCGAGATTTATGAAACGTTACTTGCGTAACGATGACATAAAATAATGGCGCGAATTGAAAATGTGATAAATGAGTAAATTGACAACCGATTGAAGGGCTTGCTGCAACAGTGATCTGATTCACATTTTATTTAAAAAAAAAAATGAACTTTAAAACTTTATAACTTTGTTTTCTTCGTCGTTACAAAATGTGGGTTAGTTTACTGTTGCAGCAAGTCTTATAATTATTAGTAATTTAAATGAGAAACTGAATAAAAATTAAAGTAAAAGAAAAAAATGTTTTCGTCTTCCAATGACGATTTTCATGCGAAATGCGATCTACATCACGCAGTAAATAACGATACGAATTAAAAATGTGATATATCATTAAAAAAACATCGAATCAGAGTGAATTCATAAAGATTAAAAATTCGAAATGAGTTAAAGATCGAAAAATAAAATTTAAAAAATTACGTTAAACATTTTCACTTTCTGACAAAGATGATAGAATTAAAATTTTTAATGGGGTGAATTTAAGATCGAAAAAAAATGAAAAAATAAACACAAAATACGTAAAATATTTTCTCGTGAAGATGATCGAGGCAGGATTTTTCTCGGTTCGCCATGCGATTCGAATTCGACGTTACCTGAGCAACTCTTCGTGTACAAAGTCGGGACCCGCACAAAGTCGATGTGGCACCAACGATATTCCAGAAATGAGTGTTCGCATCGCCGCGCGGTCGACGCGTTCTTATGCCTTGCGATCTACCCCTTCGCTTCCTCTCCGCAGATCGCTCGATTACGTGATAATCATCAATGTCTCGTAACGTCCGATACGGCTGGCTGCGCGTGAGAAGGACGTCCCTACTTGGACGCGCACTTTTTTTTTTACGCACTTCCCGCGTGAGTAAGAAGAAATCCCGTGACTCTCCGCGGGAAATGAGGAAGCGAACGGACGCACCAATAACGCACCGGTGATCCGCGCCGGTGATAATTCCGCCGTTTAATTCCTCCCCACAACAGCCGCCGAGATCTCGCTCGATTTGCGGTAATGATCCCCTCGGCGAAATTACATAACCGAAATGCAAATGATCGAACAGGCCTGACTCACGCTAAGTATCTGCGCGCTATTTTTTGGTGCGTTAAGCCTTTCATGATGATTGCGAGCTGTTTACGACGAGAACATTACATTTATGTAATCTCGATTAGATTGATTTGCAAACCACAAAAGTAGACACGTAAGACTCCCACTTATACTATTATTTTATTATATGTCTGCTATTATTTTATTACGTCAAGCGAAACCTCTACCGCTTTAGACGATCTGTAATTTAACGTTTTAGATTTCAGAGTAAAATACCATTTTGTAATTTTACATGCTGAATACGTGTATTTTATTTATAAATTTAATATGAATATTTTGATCTTTTAAATGTCTTCCGCGATAGACTGAGCGATAGACAATTTTATAAATAAAATTTTAATGTAAATTTTGACATGAATTATCTAACAATTGTACAAAGTGGATTATATAAAGCTGGTTAGCAGAAAAAGATCTTAGAGCTTTTGTATCATACATATGTATAAATTATATCCAGAAAAAATGGTGTATTAATATAGCATTAACCAACAACAATTCAATTGAAAATAACTTGTTCATTCAATAACAATATTAATGAAACAAATAGCATTTTATTAAAAGCATGTATTTGTTTCATTATAACATTGTGCCATTGAATTAACAAGATTTATTTTCAATTAGAGTATTAATGTCGGCTAATGCTGTTAATGTGACATCATTTTTTTCCGTATACCATTGATATACATATAACAACAGCGCAGTAATTATGATAGAATCTTTCGGCTTCCGGGAATTCGCGCGACTGAAGAGAGAAATGATTTTTTTTTGCAGCTTCACGCGGCCGCGCTCTCCTCGCTGCGGTCCGAGGTGGCCGAGCTGAACTCGCGGCTGGTGGCGGCTACCCGCGCCCGCGAGAACGCCGAGGCCGCGCTGATGCGGGCGGAGGTGCAGGCGGCCCGCACCGAGCAGCGGGCGGAGCAGCAGTCGGCGCGGCACGAGGAGCGGCTCACCGAGTTGCATTCCGTCATCGCCGAGCTCGGCAGGCAGCTGGAGCGGCATCGCGCCACCGTAATTGCCGAGGAGGACGAGTCCGGTAAGGGTCCACACTCCGTTCCTTCTCTTCCTTCTCCCTCGTAACTTTGATACGACGCACCGGAGAGAGAGAGAGAGATGCTCTCTTATCGGCGATTACACGTATCGATTTCACTCTTCCACGGAGAGCATCGAGAGAGGGAGAGAAAGCCTTGGCGGATCTTCGGGAGTAACGAGTGTCACGGCCGATTCCCCCCGGCGGGCAATCAGCGGGATCTCCCCGGACTCCGACAATAACAATAGTAATAGCTCTCTCGGTAGCGCGCTCTCGATTCCCGCTCTCGGCCCTCTGCCTTCTCGATACCGAGAAGAAGAGCGATCTCTTAAGGGGTACGCGCGCGCGACGCGCATACCATCGTGTCGCGCGCACTGTCTCGCGAGAGAGACGATCGTTTATCTCGATAAATAACCGGGGGGGCATCTAATGGAGTAGATTTGTTTCTTCGAATCGCGCGATTGTCGAGCGAGAGTACCGAGTAAGTATTAATAATCGTCGGTGGCCGCGCGATCTTAGGATGATGCCATTCATCTTTAATGGAGATGGTCTTAATGAATGCGCAGAAGTCGAGACGAGCAGAGACGCCGAGGGTTCCATCACCAATCCGGTGGAGGAGAGCGAGGGCGGCGGGGACATTCAGGGAGATGGCGATCGCACCCTGGGGGACGCCGACTCGAGCTGCTGCGAGGACGAGAATCGACCGGCGGAGGTAAAGGAAACTAAAGGAACTCTCTTGAGGTTCCAATTTTGAATGTATTATATCTAATATCCGGGGTCCGTATTCATAGTCGGTTCTTATATTTAAGACCGTCCTAAGTACAGTCTTAAGTTGTTCTAAGCCAATCACAGAATATTGTCATCTAAAGACGTTACTTAAAACGATCTTAAAATAAGAACGGACTATAAAGAATGTCGGCCTGGGAGATATCATTGCGTTGATAGAAAAGTGACGCAAGTAAAAAAAAGAATTAGAATTGTGAAAATTATTTTTAAGATAAACGAAAAGAAATCGACCCTGAAGTTTTTAGAATCGATTTTTTACTTGTGTCACTCTTTTCTATCAATACGATAATATATTCTACATTTAATATATATCCCTTAAAAAAAACGCATTATTATTTTTAATACAGAATGGCAGGGAACAGCTGGACAGTCCGGCCGCGTTGCCGACTCCCGAGCCGACGCAGCAAGCGGCGTCGTGCCAGAGCGTCGCCGTCGCGACGCTGCAGGAGGAGATCACCGCGTTGCGGGCGGAAATCACGAGTCTGCAGGCGCAACTGGTTCATTTCAAGAGTCAGAGCAGCAATCACAGGCAAACGGCGAGCAGCGATTCGCCGCGTCGAGAACTCCGAGTGAGTGGCAGCAGTCCTCAAAAGTCGTCTTTCAATGAGAAACGAAATTGAAAAAATTAATATTAATAAAGATAATTGAAAGAACAAGAATCGAGATCGCAAAAAAAAAACAAAGAGATGTTAATAAAATGCAATAACTCTTGATTTAATTCCTTTCACTCTTTTTCACTCGCCTCTTCTCTCTCTCCGCAGACAAGGGGCAACACCAGCTCGCCGGAACCTTTGACGGCGCCGTGCTCGCCGCTCTTGCCACCGCTACAGACACCTCCAACAAAGAGCGTTACGAGGGAGGAACCGCCAGTCCTCAAAATGGCAGAGAGGGTGCGATTGAGGAGAACGGACGAGAGGCACATTACCGGCCCGGACATTACTAATTTCGGAGTACGAATTTCGTTTATAAAAAAAGCCGTTTGCACTAATATCGTCGTGTTGATAGATAAGTGCCACAAGTAAAAAATTAGCATTTTTTTTTAAATGATGAAAGAAAATTAATCCTGAAGGTTTTAATGACATAAGTAAAAAAATAGTATTTTTGAGATAATGAAAAAAATTGGCTCTAAAATCTTTAGGATAAAAAATATCACTTGTCATTTATATCTATCAACGCGGCAATGTGTATCTTTTTTTTTAATTTTTAAAATTATGAACGTAATTTCATATTCCAACGTATTTCAGGTGTGCTCCACGATGGTCGCTGAGCATCTCGTGTCGGATCTTCTGGAGCAGTCGAACCTACAGGAACTGAACGGCTCCGAGAAGCAGTTTGAGGTCGAGACGGAGCGGTTGAACAGCAGACTCGAGCACGCGCGGGCGAACAACGCGGTTCTCGCGCTTACATTGCACGAGAGTAAGGCGCAATGCGATAGGTACGATTCGTTAAAGTAATACGACCGATAAAACGCGAACAATTCTTTTCCCAATAAAATAATCCATATTTTTCCTACGTTACAGATTAAGCCTATTAGTCGGCAAGTACGAGTCGAATGCTACGGCGTTGCGACTCGCGCTGTCGTACAGCGATCGCGCGATCGAGGCCTACGACGTTCTAGTCGCTCTGCTGGAGAGCGAAATCGCGCTCTCCACCGAGAGAAACAGCGTGACGATCGATAACAGGAGGGCGGCCGAGAACGTCGCGTATCACGTGCTAAACAGACTCGAAAACGACTGTACCAACACGCTGGGCGCACCCTGGGAAGACAGCATGGTCTTGTCGGACGAGTAAGTATATGTATTTTTTATGTCGTAGTTTTTATGCGTAGTGCGTGCAATTTCTAACTGCGAACACACCTTTCCCAGATCGGAAATAACGTGGAGCGTGGAGGACGAGCAGCGACTCAGGAGGCACATCGGCAGGCTGAAGGGAGAACGTACGATGGTCAGGTCGACGGCGGTCGAGCTGGAGAGCGTGCATGCGGAACCCTTGAACTCGAAGAACACCATCTCTCTGGCGGAGGCCAGGAAACTCGACTTGGAAACTGCCGTGCTCATGCAGGTCGGTATCCAGCTAAGTTGAAAACTTTGAAAATCTTAAAAATTGCAAACTTTGAATTAAAATATATTTTAATTTAACTAATTATTGATTTAAATTTTATTTTTAGGAACTAATGGCTATGCGAGAAGACAAGGCTGAGTTACGCGCCAGGGTGTTCCTTCTGGAGAAGGAACGCGCCACGATAGAACTGAAGCTGAACGCGCGCGACACGCAGATCGCGGCCCAGCACGCCACCATACAGCACCTTCAGGGCCAGCTGAGCGACGCGGAGGCTATGCTCGCGATGGCGACGAACAAGGTATCAATCTTCATCGCGTGTAATCTTCAAGCAGATCTCTCTTTTTGCGCCCTAGCTAATCGAAAGAGTATTTAGGACCGCGGCCTAAGTGACAACGAGAGCGAGGGAATGGAGTCGGAGTTGATCGAAGCGCTGGGCAGGGAGGCGAGGCTGAAGGAGCGCCTGCAGGAATTGATCTCAACCCTGGACGAAGTCAACAAGAATTCCGAGCTCAGGCATCAGCAGTCCGCCGAACTCGTCAACGACTTGAAAAGAGCTAACGGGTAATTATTACGCAAAATCTGTTATACATACATACTTGAATTAAAGATAAAAATAAGAATTTCCTCGCGCTCTCCTCAGTGCACTGGTTCAAACTCTCGAGAAATCCAAGAAGAAATATCAGTCAAGGCTGAAGAAGCTGGAGCAACAGATGCTGGGAATGGTAGAGAGACACGCTGCGCAGGTATGATCGAATTATAGGTATATTATCCGTATTAATCACTCGTTTTCGTAGAAAAAAAGAACAGTAATAATTTATTACACTAGATACATTCTTCCGCGACACTATTCCTTCTGCAGTTCTTTCCGTCTCTCCTGTAGTCTCTGTTCAACCAGATCCTCCAGGTCGTCGAGCGGTTTGTAGATCTTGTGAACGCACTGTGCGCCGGTCAGCATGGTGAGCAGCGATGCTACGCAGAACGTAACGAATCGTGTCGTGGATATGTTGGGCGACATCGCGCGTTGACAGATCAGACGGAAAGTCAGTCGGTGCGAAAATTGCTCCGTCGTTCCTCCTGCTTTAGCCTCTCCTCCACCAGTTCCTCCACCCTTCGGCGTTTGTATGTCTTGTAGAAGTTAACCTCTCCTCCTACGTGCAAGTGGATCATGGAGTACTCCAGGGCAGCCCCGAAGATGAAAAATAACGGCAGCAGTCGGTACTCGCCGAGCGCCTTTCCCGGCAGTTTATTGATCAGCCTCTTCAATTTTTTACTGTAAAGGAACATTGAAACGTCTGAATTCCGTTCGCCGAATTACACAACCATCCCTCCCTGCTAATCTACTGCCGCCATATTGTTTCCGAACTCCGATGCATGCGCACTGAACAAGCGACGATATACATATACACTATCCATTTATATTGTTTATAAGTTCCTTAAAAAATGAAATATTCTAGCATAACTTCACTTATTTTGGCAATATTATTTAATCTTTTTTTTTAAACAATAAAATTAAAACATCTCATGACTTGATATGTTGCCTGGATTTTTCATTAAAAATTCTCTCTGGGTGAAAGATTAATAAAAGTGGATCTATGGCCTGTATCATAATTCTGGCAGTGTTTCCAAAGTGCCTCGAGAAAAATATCATTAAAGACCGGTTTCATTTTCGGATAAATTAGGCAATAACTTATCTAATAGATAAGTGAAAGTTGGGCCAGTAGCGTTGTACAGACATTTATCCATTAGATAAGTTATCACATAGGTTATCGGAAGATGACAACAACTGGCCCTAAATACGCTTGAAAAATTAACATAATGCCTAAAATATCTAATAAGATTATAACAGAAGCAAGAGTAATTTTTTTAATTAAAAAAAATTGTAAGTTTTCCAAGCAATATATCAATTCGCGACCGATATTTTTGTTATTTTGTAGTTAAAAAAGATCAATTTATATATAGTTATGTTGCCAAAATAAAAAAAGATTACGCAAGAATATATTTTATTTTATCCTTAAGTGTTGTCGGGTGCTTTTTAATTATACCAATTTTAAGAGGTAAATTTCGAAAAATATAAATCATATAGATTTTATTTTATATTTTGAGTTATAACAAATTAAAAAAGAAAACCATTTTTCCATTTACTATTATAACATGTTTTAAAGTCATAATTTGTATTAGTAAACAGACCGCATCAGATGTATATGATATATCAGATGTATATTGCAATCGCGTAATCTCTTAAATCAATTTTCGCTTGCAGGTGAAAACATTGAAGCAACGAATAGCTCTACTGGAGGAGGAATCGATGGGCTACAAGGGAAGCATGGCATTGCAGTCTCAAAGTTCTGGCGCCAGCGAGACGTCCTTATGACAATTGAGTGATTAAACGACAAAAACGACGTACCGTGCAAGCTTAGTAATCCAATAATTATTTTTAACATCCATCCTGCTCGTTGCGAGGGCAACATGATTCAACACAAAAAAAATGGAGATCGAACTCACACACGTATTTTTTTACACCGAATAGTCGAAAGTAAAGACGCTTAGCTATTCGCTTTGTAATTATATCGTGGTATATATCGCTGCTGTCCTAACGAGAATATAATTATATAAAAAGAATCGATTCAGCTAGGCCTACGCAATGTGTGCAATTGTGTCGATACGCGAAATCGCAAACAGCCTATTATAAAAAACAGATCCTCCAGCACGTCGTAAATTACAAATAATTCATTAGTTAGTGTATCGCGCTATCGTTAATCGCCGTGTACATATGTATATTGTAAAAGTATAAACCACAAGTGTGATACGTGTAAACTATAATGAAAAATAAACTCTGCTTTATTATAGATATACCCCCACACGCGTCCCTGAATGCTTTGCGGATATGTGAATCTATTTTACATCTCTCCCTTCTCCCACCCTCTCTCACTCTGTCTTTATTTTTTTAATTATTATTTGTATATATAAAATTTACATTACACTAAGCGTCCTGATTCTCCTGCTGCTGTATCTGCAACGCCATAGTCTCCGTGGCGTTATTCCCCGGCACGTCGGCCCCATCCTCCGCCGGCACGTCATTAATCTCGACGGCCTCCTTATTCATCAGGGTTCTCAGCTCCTCCTCCAAGTGCACGCAAACCTGCTCGATCTCGTAATTCTTCGACACCAGACTGACCCACTGCGCCTCGAGTGCTCGCAGCTTGTCGCCACCCTGGGTCTGCATCGACTTCCTCTGCCAATTGACCTCCTGAATCTTTTTCCTCAGCGTCTGCAGCTGCTTCTGCGCGTGACCCAGCAGCTGAACCAGCACCTCCAAGTAGGACTTCCACGCTTCGCAACCGTAATCCATCATCAATTCCAAATTACAGATTCTAAAATTGTACAAAAGTGACGAAAGACAGTACAAGAGTCGTGGAAGACGGACGATATACCGATAAGAGCCATCGGCCGTGTCTGTTTGGACGCTAAAGCGCTCATCTTCGTCTTCTCTAATTTCTCACTCGGATTTCCGAAACTCCAGAAAAAGCGTTCATAAGAAAAGTGTCGTTCGTTTTGACCTTTGTAAGCGTTCATTGGTCGTGTAATGATGTCATCAGTGACGTCATACTTTAGGCTCGTAAACGCTTAGGCACATAGAAAAAAGTAAGAGGTAAGCAGCTCTATATTTTGGATTTACTATTGGCCGACTGTGATTGGCCGATTCGCTTCCTGTTTACGTTTTTCTACGTGTCATGGCCTCTATTTCGTCAAAGTAGGGCAGCGAAAGAGTGAGCAGTATAATAAACGCTTGTTAATTACAGTGAAAGATACATGCTCAGATATATTATAAAAATCATTAAAATATAATTAGGCATGATCGATACAAATTAGTCACCATTTCTTTTATACAAGTTAAAAATTGCTCCTTTGGTGATAAATACTTATTTACAATCTGACTTGGATCTTAATAATGTTACAAGATGTGATATGTATAATTAACGTAGATTAATGCATTCTAAAATAATTATTCTTTAAAAATTTTAAAATTGTACTTAATATGTGGTATATATATATATATTAGTTAAACTCTTAAAACGTGATATAAATAAGTATTAAAGATTTAAACTGTTCATTTATTATGCTCCAATATAACATCCAAATAATTGATATTTTGATAATAATCAATTGATTTTTTGATATGACAAAAAGTTAGAAGTACTAATATTTCACCATTATAGCTAATACATTCTTCATCATCCAGAAAATCAAATAAAGTTAAAGTGTGAGCAAATATCTTCGATATACTTTTGAAATTAATTTGTTTATCTCCATATTAAATGTATCAAGTATTTGTTTAGGCTTAGAACATCCAAATAATTTTGAAAGCAAATAAACTTTGCTGTTTCAATGCGAGTGTTCGGAAGTCAAATTGAACAACTAAAAATAGCGCTTATAAGTGAGCGTTTGTAGCACGTGAGCGTCCAAACCAGAATTTCGTTTGTTTACCTGGTACCTTGATGCTCCAGTTGTGCACTACTGTTCTCCACACTCTCGTTCCACGCAGTCAAATCGTTGAGCTTGCCGGACGCAGGCGGTGGCAACTCGTAACGCTTCATACTGAGCACTTCCATCGGCAGACGAGACTGCATCCTCTCGAATTCGTGCTTCAGCACCTCCGTCTCGAAGGAAGTTATGCACAGTGGCTGCAGATGTTCCAGATAATTTTTCGTCGGCCTGTAACGTCGTGTCTCTTCCTCGACCATCGCCAACGCCTGAAAAAAAAAACAACATTGAATCATGGAATATTTCGCGAAATAATCCAAGAAATACAGAGAATTTTCCTTAATACGACACATTCGGAGCATAACCTATCGGGTTACTGTTGTTTTGTTAATTACAAAATAAAAAGTAAATGTAATTCTTATTTACCGCTTCTCGCACGCCTGGCTCATCGTATCCTTGGTCGATGTAGGGCAGTGCGTCAACAATGACTTCTCCAGCCATAATACGTAGAATTAAAATTACAAGCTCTATCAATTTTTTGTAAACAAATTACACTATCAATCGTTACGTCAAAAAGTAAGAAATACGAAGAGAGCGAACTACATGAAGGCGTCAACTGATTCGATAGATAGCGTTGTAAAACACATGCGTTCTGAAATACACGAGAAAAGATGTAATCAATTGTCTTGCCGAGCACCGACGAGATATTTATCAGAGAGAAGCATGAAGCTGATAAAGCTCGAGAGCGGTCATCCCTTTTCTGTGGACCGTCAGAATCCCGTATACTAGCGCCAGACATCCATTTTTGAAATAAATATCCCATCCAGTTTCGACGTATCAAGGACGGAATCCTAGCGCTCGTCAGAAGCTCGAAAACTCCCGCCGATACGCGGAGAACACGTTGAGCGAAGAGGTGACACGGAATCCTACTAATCCTAGCCAGCGCGCCTCGATATAGAGGCTGAAAAACTCCCGCCGATACGCGAAAAACATGTTGAGCAAAGAGGTGGCACGGAATCCTAGCCAGCATGCGTATCGACAGCTTGTCGATAAAACGAAAAACTGCTGAGCGAAGAGGCACGGAATCCTGGACAGCGGGCCTCGTCAGAAGCTCGAAAACTCCCGCCGATACGCGGAGAACACGTTGAGCGAAGAGGTGACACGGAATCCTACTAATCCTAGCCCGCGCGCCTCGATATAGAGGCTGAAAAACTCCCGTCGATACGCGAAAAACATGTTGAGCAAAGAGGTGGCACGGAATCCCAAAGCATAGCCAAGACTACTCCCACTCTCATACGGCGCGTAAGCCCCGCCTCTCAGCGCAAAAGCAGCATATATGCGTTGGTGGGGGCAGTAGGCTCCCCCTCCATGGCGCACTGGCGGCCTCCGCCCCGAATACCTCTGCCACCTACTTGT